TGGCCCCCAGCGCCCGCCAACCTTCACCCCCCGCCCCCAGCTCCACGCGCGCACGAAGCCGGGAAATGAGCCTGGCCGCACAGAACCCAGGCTCGAGGGTTTCAAGCAGCTTCTGGAGAAAAGTATTGACTTTCCCGTGTCCACTGGCACGGATCCCTGGGGAAAACGCCAGCCCCGAACCGCGTCTCATTTCCAGCACCGGCCACTTCAGCACCCGCACCCGGGTTCGCACTTGGAGGGATCCCCGCACAAACCACAGGTCACGCCGAGCCAGTGCAGGTTGGCCCACACCACGATGCCTGTCCTCGCCCGAGGCCTGACCTTGGCCGCACATTCAGAGTGCCATTACCCTGTCTCAGTTCTACTCAGCTCTCCAGGACCTGCTGTGAATTTCCCATCAGGCAGGAATCCTACACACCTGGGGGCTTCCCCACGGCGCCCGGAGCAGGTGTGCTTCCTGGGGCTAGGCTCACTGATGTACTCAGCACATCACAACCCAATACCCTCAGAATTCCCGGTCTATGCAACTCCAGTTTGATGGCTAGGTCAGGTGACAGGGTAAAACACTCCTCAAGAGCCACAAGAGTTGGTGAAACCAACTTATGTTTCGTGCCAAAAACAAAATGTGTGTTCAGCTTTTGAGTAAGACTGTATTTATTCTGGAAAGCTCCTCCTCTCATAGATTTCCATCTTATTGTAGTAAAATACAGAGACCATAAATTTTTAACTATTTTTAAGTGTACAGTTTAGTGGCATTAAGTACAGTCACACTGTTGTCAACCATCACCACCTTCATCTCCAGAACTCAATCACCTTCCCAAATGGAAACTCTACCATTAAAGGCCATTGAACCATTTCCCGCTCAGCAGCCCCTGGCAACCACCAGTCTACTTCTTGACTATAAACCTGTCTGCCTAGTCCCTCATGAAAGTAGACTCATATGACATTTGTCCTTTTGTGACTGGTTAAATTTAATATATCTTTGACCCAGAGCTAAAAACCCCAAATACTTAAGGATTTAAAAATAATTCTGGAATAAAAATCACATTGCTCTACTACTTTTATTTGGTGAAGTAAAAAAGTGTTCGCCACATCTCAAAAGCCACTCTGACTGCTGTTGGCTGCAGGGAACGCTATGTGAAGAAAGACGGACTGGCCTGCCCTGGCGGCCTCGGAACCTAACTGGTTACCAGTGGTTTCCAGAGCTGCAGTAGGCAGGACTCTCCCACACTGGAATCTGACGCCCTCTGTAATTAATTATATACGATTTAAATGAGTTACACCACTTTTTTAAAAACAAGGTGCCAGTTGATTTTATCTCAGTATTTGTTTCACTAATATTAAAACTATGGAGAACTCGTACTATGTGACATCACCCTTCTTCAGTAATTCCACTGATACAGCACTGATGTGCTTCTACTGCCTCTGGGTTCTGTCTTAACCATGGGGAGAGGGGGCTGAGGACAAAGGTGAACCACCGAGTGTGCTCCCAGGGAGCCGGTGAGAGAAGGGCGAGGGCAGACACACGGTGAGCTGTCACTGAGCGGCGGGTCTGACACAGACGGAAACCCTGATTCACAAGAATGGCAAGGAGGGAAGCTAAAATCTGGAGGCAGGTGGAGGGAGGAGGGACTGTCCGAGACGGTCACAGATATGTAGTATTTTGAAGCTTGTAGGGGGAAGAATCAAATATGACTTAGAACTGGGCAACTCTTCCCCTTTCTTGTAGAGAGAAGAAAAATCTCGCTTTAACACACGACTGTCAACAATAAAGCACAACCTAATTTTTGCTCTCTTAATTTGAAAGTCCGATTCTCCTGACTGTCATAATGACCTCTTTTGTTGAGAGTTATCATCAAATGAAGCGGATGATAAAGTTCTAGTTGACAAGGTGTTGGGGGAGGTAACATGTTTTCAATTGACCTCCTTCTAGAAGTCTTTGCTGAACAGGTATGCATGGCACACTGAAGTACTTTTGAATGACAGTTCTGCAGGGTTTGAGGGAAGCAAACCACCTGGAAATTCTGAGCTTAGTCACATTAGCAAACATCTGGTAAAGGAGATGCTTGAGGAGGCAGGCAGACACAGGAAGGGGTCCTTGTCTGTGCACAGAGCGACCATGCCCTGCCTGAAGGCATGAATGAGGAACATACCTGAAAATACCACTTTACGCCGCACTGTGAGGTTGACATGGCCTTGCTTGGCAGCTTGTTGCATAAGCTGGACCACAAGCTGGTGTGACTTTCCAATGACTGGTGTCCCATCCACACAGATTAATTCATCCCCAGACCTCAGGCGGCCATCCGTATCAGCAGCACCCAGTGGTACGATGTGACCGATATAAATCTGTGGAGCAATTGGATGACAGATAAAACAGCGACCTTTTCATTTGCTATTCTACTCAAAGACTTCACATCTCCGGGAACATTTTAATTCATTCGTGTCTGTATCCATGCCACAAACACTTCCTAGTGCCCAGGGGATGCCAGGCACTGGGCTAGGTGCTACAGCAGTTCTCACATGGTGGAGAAAGAACTTTCTCTTGTTTGGTTCCCAGACACTTCTCTGTGGTGATGTGGTTCTTTTTCTCCTTTGCAGAAATAAAACACTTCATTCCTTTCCTCTGCAAAACACTTTCTCCTTTTCTATCCACTTACAAACCAGCCTTTCAGAAAACTCTGCTAATTGTAATAGTGGTACTACTTTTCTTCAAAACACAGCACTGTGCCTTGCAATAGCGAATGCACAATAGACCTGTTAAATGAAGGAGTGAATCAAGCAAGTGTGGTCTGTCATCTGCATTTCTGTCCTCTCAGCACCCGCATCCAAGCAGCCTTTATTTAGTGCCTTATGTTTACCGTCCACTCAGCTTTAGTTAAAATAGTTGTGCTCTCCCTGCCTTCTCCTGAGGTGCCAATGCTACCGCTACCTTTGCGTGACATGCGTAGTTTACAGAAAGCTCTGCCAGGTGAGTGGTTAAGAATATGGACTCTGGAATCAGACCCTTTCCAGTCCTTCCATTACTAACTCTGTGATCGTGGGCAAGTCAGTTAACCTTTTGTGTCTTTGTTTGATGATTTCAAAAATGGGGAAACACTCATGGACTTGAAGGATAAATGAGAGAGTGTATGTTAAAGCCTGTGGCATAGCATCTGGCACAGAGTGAGCACTCAATCAGTAACAGTTATTTTTATTCCGATGAGGGAATTACCAAATACATTTCTTTAGTTCTCTTTTCCCCCTTCAAAAGGATTCTGTGATGTAATACTAAGTTTACTCTAAAGATGAGGCCCAGAGAGGTGAAATGTCTCCTAACTCTTGTTTGGGGTTCTTTCTCTTCTTTTGTAAAGACAGTTGGGTCCAACCTTTTCTAATCTCTCAACCTGGTGCTCCTCAAAATGCGGAACTGGCCGGAGCATCACATGGTTTTCTTACGGGATCCCGATTCCTTTTGCTCTTTGGCTTCATATTCTTTGATAGCAGCTCCCACTTTTCACAAACATGAACACAAACTTTTATAGTGAAACCAAGGGTCCTTATGACTGTGATTAAATTCAGCTATAATCCTAGTCTGGAAATCATGTCTATCTTTCTAACCCTCGGAGACCTAGCCTTTCTCCCGGATAAGCAGCAACCCCTGAGGCAGCGGAAGACAGGAGCCGGGCCTGACTAATGGTCATGGGCCTGGGCCTCCGGCAGGATAAAGGTAACACCCTGGCCTGGGCTGGGTTTCAGCTCCTGAGCCCTGAGGTGGAACGACCCCCTGGCTGCTTCCCCGTGAGACAGACAGAGGGACAGGACACTGTCCTCGAGATCTGAAAAAATAATTCCTCACCCTCACCTCAGCTCCGACGGTCAGCTCCTAGCACAACCTCCGACACAGTGCCTTGTGATTTTGCCCTATGTAATCTGTGTCCTGCACCACCGGGGGGTCCAGGCTTTGAGCATCAGCTTCCGGTTCTCCTGGGTGGGGCACTCATAATGAAATAGCCAGTCTGTCTCCACTGCAATTGTGTCCGTGCTTGGCTCTGCCAGCGCCGGGTGGGTGAACTCTTTCTGTTCTCTAACCAGTCCCTTTTCCCTCAAGACAAAGGCTCCACAAAACCTAAGGAACAGCCCCTCTGCCTGGACCAGGCGGTCAGTGTGGCACCTGGCTGGACTCGAGACTTGGGGATTTGTTACTGCTGCCAGCACTGTGTGTGTGTGTGGCGGGGGGGAGGGCGCGGCGGAGGGCGGGGAGGGACACAAAAGACTCACAGGTTCCCCTGGTTCATTTCCACCCAGAATCCTAAATCCAAATCCAGTCTCTTTCCTCCAGAGGAAGATGTCCTGTTCTTGGTAATCTGGAACTAGAGGGGGAAGGAAGAGAGAGGTTATTTCTCTGATACAAGGCAGCACACCCCTAAGGTTACAGCTACAGGACCGACACTGAGTGCTTGAGCAGACGACAGTCTTCTAACACAGACCAGGCAACAAACAACAGGACGCTGGGCGAGGGCGGACAGTGGCAGTCGTCACTGAGCACTAAGTTTTTTCAAAGGACTAATCACTGTTTGATAATTCCTAACCAAGCCCGAGCCATTATCCCTGACTAAGCCAGTGATCAGCCGGGGCATGAACTGCAATCACCACAGCCGCCCACGGTGCCCGGAAGAGAGGTGCTAAGTCACAGCCACTCAGAGGGTAAGTCACCTGATGCTCCATCAACTAAAAGAAGAAGGAGCGTGGGGTGAAGAATGTTCCATTAAAAAAACCAACCAAACCAAAAAACACTTCTTTCTTCTTTAAAGTAATCAAGGCCAGCGATGCCAATAATTTAACTCGTTAGATCATTTTTGCCAAAATAAGTTAGTCTTAAACATCCTAATATTTCCAAATTTGCAAAGTTTACTAAGATTTCAGTACTTTACCCAAGTCTCCAGCCTTCCATATCTTTAAGATTAACGGTGACAACAAAATTGTTCTGTATCAATGAACCATATTTCATTGTTAGAGTGACTGCTTTACTCCAGAATTTGCCTATAATATTTCATCATTAAAAGTATTACTTTATTATCCAATAATGATACTTTACTTTTAAAATTCAATATTTCAGGGTTTTAAAATAAAAAATCTCATTTTTCAAAAGAAAAGCAATTTCCATGGAAACATGCTTACTGCACATGAAATTGTTCTATATACCACTCTGTTACCTAACTATGGCAATAAAAAAGGGTTATTTCTACTTAATTTTTATTTAATAGATAGTGCTTTATATAGTCTATAAATGACATAGCTTCTATTTAAAAAGGAAAAAAATGTAGTTTAGTGGCAGTGAATCTTAAAGGAGATTTTCAAATGTTCTGCAGACTTTCTGGTTTAAGTACTTGCATTCGGGGCTGCAGCGGTGTGCAGACCCCAGCATTTAATTCTCTTCTCCAATTCTGTACAAAGGGCCAGGGAGGAGGAGGAGGCAGTGTTTGCACTTCAAGTTGGAGAGAGGGCCCTTTTTAGTGACTCACCCACAGGCTTAAAATGTACAGCGAATGAATGTGCCAAGAAAGCAGCAGCTAGATAAACAGGGAAGAGCAAGGCAGGGAGGTCTGCCTCTGATATTTCTGCTTGAGCTGTCTTAATGCCGGGGCTTTGAGCAGTGCTTTTCACCCAGTGCTTTCTTATTATACTCGTGAGCTAAGCTCCCAGAGCCACGGACATGGAGTGGAGCTACAGCGTAGGACTCTCATAGATGCGATTTGAGAATTATATTTCCTTAAGCATGCTAAAGTAACACCTCTTTCTTTCCGTTTGAGTGTCTGGCTACAGGGTATTTAGTGTAATAGACCCATGGAAACAACAAATTAAATCAACTTGGGTCTCCATCGTTGGTTCACTCAAGCAGGATTATTACCAAAATGGACCCTGGGTGCGTCCCAGCGCACTGGGTTCCTGGCAGAGCATGTGCGGAGTCTGCTGGGCCTCCCTGTGAACAGCCTCTGCAGAGACCTCCAGCCAGACCCGTTTCTCAGCATCATTTCACAGGAGCACACGCCCATCCTACGATGACACCAAACGTAGCAAGTTCTGCCTTATAAAGCTCATTTAGGTGTAAGCTAGCACGGTGTGGGTGGCTGTGGCAACAGACTTAGGCTTATCATACAGGTTAGTCCACAGGAAAAAAGCATTTGTTTCTCCCTTAGAATCAATGGGAAAATGGCAAATTTATTTAAAAACAAGATGCCCAACGACACCAAGAATGTTGAGGACTGCAGTGATGAGCCAGGAAAACAGAGACACAAGCACAGTACACCACACGTAGGGATGCTGCGAAGGAAGTCTTTTGGCTCCTTAACAATCACACTCCTCTCCCACCGACCAAATGCACACAGTTCGTAAACTTTGGTGACACACGGGATCACAGACTTCCTCCCTCTGTGTCCTCTGCCGCCAGCGGCACTGAGGTGTCTCAACTACTCCTCCCAAACGGTTAGTTCTCTTCTTTATTTCAGGCAGATTCCATCACAATTACATTTTTAGGAGACAGCAGGGTAGACCATCTTTCTGATGTTTATATCCCTTTGTCTTCCTTTTGAGTGAGGCTACATCAAAAAGAGCGAGGAGAATCTCGTCCAGCTTTCTTCACCTTTAAGCCCTCGCATAGGAGACCACCTCAGCAGTTAATCTCCTTTGGTAACGTAAGTGACAACACAATAAAGTGCTCAAAAGACTTCCTTTGCTAATTAGACGGATGGAATCACCAGGTTTGCAAAGAAACCTCCTGGTGCCTCCATTCCTGCAGACACACATTTCCGGACTTAGCAAACCCATGCCATCACTTTTTCTGTCATCTGGTCTTTGGTCTATGCCTGGTTAACAAGAATTCCAAAACACTGGCTCATGGCATTTCCCTCTCTGTGTCCGCCACCCCACCCGCCCCCCGACCAATGGGAACATCAAACAGAATGAATATAATGGAGAAATAAAAGTTTTCAGCGAATCCTTACTCTGACATTCTCCAAAATTCGTGGAACTGATTTCTCTCTCTCTTTCACCCTTGCTCAATCCCGACGCAGGCGAAGGTGACATAGCTGGAATATTAATTTCACAATTTGCAAAGCTTAATGTATGTGCTTTCTCTCAGTTCATTTTAATTTCGTTTTGATTGATAAGGAGCGTGCAGTTGAGCTTTCACAGTAAAGGTCATGGCTGCTCTGGATTTTAAAAGATTGCAGTTTGATTCTGCTTTATTTTTTCTTTTTTTCATGGTGCTTTTCTTGTCAAAAAGCTAGAATTCACAATTGTACCATTGAGCATTTCATAGAACTCCCATGACCATATTAGACTCTTCATATTTAATTGAACCCCACCGTACACATTCTTGTATGGCCTTGTCCTAACCATGTCATGAACTTTAAATTTGCCTAAACCCTTATTTCCTTTTGAAAAAAATTAAGTATAATTTTGTAACTGCCACACGACAGGTGGAATTCATTCTGTGCTAATACCTGTTCAGATGAATTCTAGGCAGTTCAACAGAATAGCCTTCCATGTAGAGGCACAAAGCATCAGATCTGCTGAGGTCTGAACACACACACAAACAAGAAGTGTCTAGAACGACACCCAAGCTCCTGAAACGAACTCTGATAACGCAGCCCGTTCACCACTTCCAGCTGTGCAAGCGTGTCCCCCCAAAAGCATGGGTTACTCTGGTTAACGGGGCAGCTCTGACAGGCTTTCTTTCCAAACTATTTGTGAGCGGGCGAAAAGCCAGCGGGAAGTTTGAAACTTCCTTTTATAGTCAACACTAGTGGGTACAGCTGGTCCCGAATGTTAACTAGTAAGACTGTATCAGTGTCATTTTTAAAAACACGTGCATAATAGGTATGTTATCTAGAGAAAAAAAAAATACCAAACAGGCAACATGGCTTTTAAAGGACTTCCATGCGTGCCTTTGTTTTAAATTAAACTTGTAAGCCCTTTGAAGGGATTCATGAACACGTCTGCACTGCAGATCGATTCACCTGACCCTGCTGTTGTGACAGATGCCATATCAAGAATATGGTAGTTTGCACAGTACTTAGACCATGGGAAGGAACTGAATCAGAGACGGTGTTAATCTCCACATTGCCCTTCTCAATAAAATGAAATATAAGGAAAATATGTTTCTCCACAAAGGGAGGCATAGATTAAGGGTACAGTTAAGATACTATAGCTGCCTTCAATGTTCCTGGAGTACTTTGCTCAGTTTAATATCTTGGGGGAAGGGGCAGCGAATCACATCTTAGGCTACACACTGTGTTTTTCTTCAAAAGACAAGAAAAAACAACAGCAACCTAGGGAATGGCAGAAGCTGATCGGTACACGGCCTCCACAGTTGCGTCATCCTGACCAATCATACTCATGAGAAACGGCCAGTAACAGCAACAGCCAGAACAGAGCGCACGTGTATGTGCTAAGATTGAAGCATTTTAGGAACTTTCATTGGTAATAATGACAAGATACATGAACATTATTTATGGTGAATAGTCTTTGGAAGTCACTTCATCATAAAGGTAAGAAATTAAACATGAAGGCAATGTTTTGTTTATAGGAGCCACAAAGTTACGGTGTGTGCCCTCGCTAGTTCCTATTTATCAAAAAGGCAAAGCCAGGGGAACACATTTAACCACAGTATCAGTAATTAATGCACACAGAGACGGTGTTAATCTCCACATTGCCCTTCTCAATAAAATGAAATATAAGGAAAATATGTTTCTCCACAAAGGGAGGCATAGATTAAGGGTACAGTTAAGATACTATAGCTGCCTTCAATGTTCCTGGAGTACTTTGCTCAGTTTAATATCTTGGGGGAAGGGGCAGCGAATCACATCTTAGGCTACACACTGTGTTTTTCTTCAAAAGACAAGAAAAAAAAACAGCAACCTAGGGAATGGCAGAAGCTGATCAGTACACGGCCTCCACAGTTGCTTCATCCTGACCAATCATACTCATGAGAAACGGCCAGTAACAGCAACAGCCATAACAGAGCGCACTTGTATGTGCTAAGATTGAAGCATTTTAGGAACTTTCATTGGTAATAATGACAAGATACATGAACATTATTTATGGTGAATAGTCTTTGGAAGTCACTTCATCATAAAGGTAAGAAATTAAACATGAAGGCAATGTTTTGTTTATAGGAGCCACAAAGTTACGGTGTGTGCCCTCGCTAGTTCCTATTTATTGAAAAAGCAAAGCCAGGGGAACACATTTAACCACAGTATCAGTAATTAATGCACAGACCACTCAATGTTGTTGTTTTTTTCTTTTTAAGGGGAATGTTTAGAAAGACTGCTAATATTGGTTAAAAAAATTACCAGTATTCTTAAAAACTCAGAGACCACTAAGGAAGAATTTAATTTTTTCTCATTACTCCCGCAATCCAAACCAGTCACTTCATGTTCTCCTGTACATCAGAGCTGTTTCCCAAGAGCTAACGGGACGGCAGCTCTTACCTGCCACCTCCTTTAACTGAAAGGAACAACAACCCCGTGCTCGCCGGGCCCTGGATCTGATGGCCATCCGCATCTACCCTCCCCAAGCTGACGGCCTGAGGGAACCTCCAGGAATAGCCCGCAGATTCGATCACTGCTGACACGCTCTCACCCCTCCCCTCGGCTTCCCTCTATGCCGTCTACACAGGGAAAACCTATTGCTAATAAGCCCCGAGAGCAAGCTGAGGCCTGGAGGTGGGGCTGCCCGAAGACAGCAGCCGGGGTCTACTCACGTCGGCTTTCATACATGCTCCTGGACTGGGCCCAGATTTTAAAAGGATCTGGCTTTTTCTGCCCAGAGCTGTCGGTCTGCTCTGCAGCGGGGGCCTCTGCAGGTGGGAACTCGGGGAGCACCTGTGTGCTGTGGCTGGGGGAGGCCGTGTGCAGGCTGCGGTGGCTGGCGACGCTGTGCTGTGAGCTGTTCTGGCTGTCTTTTCTCTCCAGTGGTTGCTGAAAGGAAGCGAGTGAGAGGGGCAAGACGAGAGGGTTATTACTGGTTCTGAGTGGGTGTTTCCTATCAGCTCGTCTTTGTTCAGCACTTCTGTGCACACACACACACAAATGTATCAACAATATGTTGGCTTCCACCTTCCTCCAGCTAATGCTGAATGCAGACAAATCCCCAAGCGATTGGCAGAGAGAGGGGTGGGCCAGGTGCAAAGACATGAGCACAAACCACACTGCTCTCTGGGCTGTGGCAGAAAACGAATCGTTTTCATCGTACGTTCTTGGCGAAGACACCAGGCTCATTTATGACAAGTTTTAACATCCCCACTGTTTTTTGACAAAATGTGTGACACAAAATACCACGAGTGGTTTAAATGTAAAGCTATGATATCCATATGCAATATAATCAGCGGTAAAATGTTTTTTTTGAATCCACGTCTTTCATTATTCTTTCGATAATAAAATACCTGACTCCTATTTGAGGGTTTGCCATCAAAACTTCTGGACTCCAAGGAAAGGGGATCAGAACTTTTATTTTATTTAATTTTTTCCTTTGTCATGTTTTTTTAAAAAAAATTTAATTTCTTTATTGTTTAAAGTATTACATAGGTCTCCTTTTCCCCCATTGACTTCTCCCTGGCTGCCCCCACCCCCCAGCACATGCCCTCACCCCTCCTGTCTGTGTCCATTGGAATTTGTTCTTCTTTTAAAAAATTTATTCTCCCCAGAAAACAAAAAATTAATTTAATCCAGCAATTAGTTTCTCTCAGAAATCTTGTAAGAGCTAATTCCATTTATCTTTTTAGATGGTCATAATTCTCCTTTGAATTTTATTTTTTTTAAAAAATATTTTTATTGATTTCAGAGAGGAAAGGAGAAGGAGAGAGAGAGAGAAACATCAATGATGAGAGAGAATTATTGATCCGTTGCCTCCTGCACACCCTCTCCCACCCACCCACTGGGGACAGAGCCCGCAATCCAGGAATGTGCCCTTGACCGGAATTGAACCCGGGACCCTTCAGTTCACAGGCCCAAGCTCTATCCACTGAGCCAAACCAGCTAGGGTGGGAATCAGAGCTTTTAGAATCATTATGTGTGCACTTGAACTTAGAAGTGGATAAATAACTATTATATGAAGAACTTCCATAATTCTTAGGTGATCAATTTTGCAGATATCACATGTCACTTCTTGATCTCCTCACACTACTGTTGGTTGAAAACTGACATCAAACTTTATATATGGGTTGACCTCAGGGGTCAGCCTTCTTTGATTTGCACCCTGTCCAAAGTCCAAATAGTATTCAAAGGTAAAGAACTTCATTTAAATTTCAACAGAATAAGCAGGTGTTCCTTAAAACCTGCCCAGCAAATGACCCTTCCCATTTTATGAAATGTTCTTTGAACGGAGAGCAAAAATTAGGGGGAGGAAAAATACTGGGTGGGAATTGAAATAATTTCAGTTCTTATTTTCTCCAGTAAAAGACTGTGGTAAGCCCAGGTGTTTAGTTTCCCCCATTCAAAATAAAACCCGGGAACCTGCCTCTCACATGACAGGTGCTATGTCCCTACACTTACTTGCTGAAGAGCCCTCTCAAGGGACACAGGACAGGAAGGGCTGTCTGTCTGCTCTTAAAGATCTTGTATAGCTTACGCTTCCCAAGTACTTTATAAGATATTTGACTCAGAGCAGTCTGGGTTTCTAAAGTTCTATGCAGAGTCAAAATCTTCCCTTGGTCTTACAAGGAATTCTACCAGCAGCTCACTCTTGCTTCCTCCCTACGTAACCTCCACGTTTCATTCCCATATCAATGGACATTTCCCAGGTCCCTTTCATTTAAATCGCAGGTCTCTCTGCCCCTCTCCTTCCAGTCCTTAATTTAAAAAAAGCATCTGAAGAAAGTCCAAGGAGGACAAAAGCTTCATTTGCCCTTGACAATTACAGATTCCACTCTGAAATCAGGCTCTGGCAAAGACTCAAAGTTGAAGAAAATTGGATGTGCATTTAATGAAGGCAAGACAGACCATTTAAAATTTTACTTGGTGTGTCCATGGGAGAAATTTGAGGACCATATTCTAAACTAGCAAAGAGGCACTGGTAACCCTGTAGGAGGGGTTTGATTCACTTAGAGTCAAGGACAGCGGCTCTGGGGAAGGCAGTGTTTGGGGGGTGACAAACACCATCATCAACCCACATTAGCATCGTTCTCTTCTGCGGATAAAGTGCTCAGCTCAGACCTGCGCGGGTCAGCATTCCAAAGACTTGGAACAGAACCGGTTCTGCCAACTTCCAGCCGCCCCCGCCCCCGCAGTGAACATGGCTCTCAGGGCCAGCGATCTCATTTCTGCCCCGAAGGTCAATGCCTGCCTCTTGCCTCGCCCGGAGACAAGACGCCCTTGGTGTGGGAGCGTGCCAGGCCGCGGCAGCCCAGCCACGGCACCTTCTCAGGGCGCTGCCTTCCTGGTATTTCCCAAATCAGGAACCAGGTTTGGACGGCAGTTAAAAGACTCCAGAGTCAGAAAACATGAACGACAGAGAGGATCTCCTTCCCCTTTGCACCTGGGACCTGTTTTTCTCCTGGCTGCCATCTTTCCACGGTGGCCTTGCCGCACCAGCACGGGCAGCACAGCCACGGGGTGTGCACCCCTCTTCCTCCTTCTCTGTGCTGCCTCCTTTGTATTAGGGTGCACCTCGAAGGCATCTTATCAGCAGACAAGATGTAGAGCTCTTCTCATTCTGAGATTAACCTTGGTAAAAAGAATCAGTGGGGACTGTTACTCTATTTTCTACATTTGGGCGATACTTTGTTTTTGTTCACTTCTGGGAGTGGGGGAAGGAGAGATTTTTTAAATATAAAAGCAAATAATTCAATAAAGGGCCTCTCAGTGTACCCTGAGAGTTGCATTCCTCCCTTCAAATGCCCACTCTCTCTCTCGGTCCCTTGCATCAGTAGCAAATGTCAGATTGTGGGGACTGTCCCCTGACACTACACTGTTCCACAGGGAGGCCTCCGGCGCTCGAAGCTCAGCCTCCTGTGTCCACAAAGCCTCAGGGGGGCCCGAGCGAGCGCTCCGCAGGCTCACCCGAGGCACATGGCACCCTTCCCCCTTCGTGGGGGTCACTCTGTGGTCTCTGGAACCCAAATTTCACCTCTGCTCCCCCTCCTGACCTGGAGAAAACCATCACCTGCGACGCTGCCCCACTGAGGAGTATCATAACACGGACCTTCCCCTGCAGAGGGTGCGCGAGCGTCCACAGGTGCGCACACAACACGCGCAGAGGTGGCGTGTCGCCCACGGGGTTCCAAGACCCTGCGATGGCTGTCGGTGTAACAGACCTCTGGCACGGAGGAACAGACCTCCCCAATTTAGCTGAAGGCATGGACTGGCCATAACCAGAGGTGCACTGAAGTCCACTGGAGATGGTCTGAGCCGGTTTTCAAGTTCAAACACCCTCCTCACCCCCAGTGAACGGGCCATGTAGGTCCAATTTAACACAAAATAGAACAAGTTTGCAAAACTGCCTCTCAACCCACTGCGCTTCTGCAGCCCTTTTAAATGCCACCCAAACGTGGTTCCCAATTTGGAAAATACCAGGAAGGCAGCGCCCCGGGAAGTGCTTTACACTGTGCCGTGGCCGGGCCGCCGCCTGGCACGCTCCCACACCAAGGGCTACGTGCACGTTGACACGGGAGCTTGCGGGGTCTCCCCCGGTAAGCCTTAGCCTCACTTCATGTTTCTTCTCAAGTTGAGTTTGGAAAAGCACTCCACTGGAACGTGCCTCCCGTATTTAACATTTGTTGGCACTCTGAGCTTTCTGAGGCTTTGCCTCTATATGTGAAAAAGCCCAAAACAAGCCTTTTATTTTCTGTGAGCATCTAATCAGCTCTGGCATTGCTTTTATCTGGTAGAGCCCACCGCTGTCCAGGAGGAAACCCATGTTTCTCTTTCAGATTACCGTCAACCTGGGGGCCTCACCCACAGTCTGCGTTCCCTCCCGGAAGACCTGGGGCAGGAGAACAAATTCAGGTCTCAACTAAATACAAGGCCAGGAACAGATTTGCATCTAATGTGATTGTCCTTCACCTCATTTTCTAGGTGAAAAACCGGCCCAAAGTCAGGTATCTGCAGTTAAAGATACACCTTCAGTCTGTTACCGCAAGCCAGGCACACGAAGAACACGGATGGAGGGAGCGCCCAGAGCACCCGGGTCAGAGCGGCCCTCGACGTCCTCCTGAGCCCCTGCTGCCGTCCAGGGGGGCAATGAAGTCCACCGGAGGTGGTCTGAGCCGTTTCTCAAATTCAAACACCCCTCTCGCCTCCCCAGTAAACGAGTCACACGTCCTGACCGCCTGCTGTGTGTCGGACTCTCGGGGCTGCGGTGTGTGAGTAAGGAGGGATGGCAGCGGAGCTCTGGAACTTACATCCCGGGCGTATCTAGGTTGGGTGCGTGTGTCTGTGCAGATGAAAGTAACCATGACAGGCTGATAGCAGCAGACCGCACCGCCCTTTAGCCGGGTAGGGAGAGGCCTGGAAGAACATCCCATTAATGGAAGCAGCATGTGCTCAGTCTTTAAGCAACACTGAGACTGAACTGTTAGAGAACAGAGAGGGGGCGAGTGTGGCGCAAGGGGCTGCAGTGGTGTCTCAGGTGACCTGGGAGGCTAACGTGAGGGCCTCTGGGCTACGTCAGGGAGTTTGGGTTTCATTCTTAGTCCAGGGGAGGAGGGATATATTAATGAAGGAAAAGCGGATACATCAGAAGCTGACTTGCTTCCAGAAAGTGTGGTCTGGCTCCTGGGGTTGGGGCGGGGATGGTGTATGTGTGTGTGTGTGTGTGTGTGTGTGTGCTCGCGCACGTATGTGTGTGTGTGTGAGTGTGTGTAAAGGTTAGTGGGGATGGGATGAAAGCAGAGAGCCAGTCAGGAAACAACGGAGTCCAAGGAGGTGCCTGAGGAGGTCTATGCCTGCGGAGCACTAGTGCCCAAGCAGAGGGACAGTGCACTTAGAAGACATTCGGTGCCAAGTCAACAGGCACTGCTCACAGACTGCACTGGGGACAGAGCAGGAGGAGGAAGAGCTATCATAAACGTGGGCATCCCCCCCCGCCCCCGCCCCGACCAGGTCCCACCTCGAGCGACTGGTTGGAAAGGGTTGGAGTACTGAGACGAATATTTCCAATGCCAGCTGTTGTCACTGGGCTGATATTTTTGAATCAAGATTTTTTTTATTTCTGAATATTAAATCAGAACCGACTAGGAAAGAAAAAAAAGGGCTTACTTTTGAAAACTCCATAGAAGACCTTAGCCTCACACTAGCCGGTGCCATAAGGCTTTTAAAAATAAAACTGTACCCACCTCCCTAGAATGAATGATTTTCTTACACCGACAGGCCAGGGAGATCGGGAAGATGCAATGGTTTTTATGGACAGAGATGGGGACAAACCCAGCGCATCAGTCTTTCACAGAATCATTTCAAAATGAAGGTACTTAAAAAGTGAGCTGGAAATATTTGCTTGGAAGAGCAAATGAATACAGACAGCACTTAGGAGCTTTAACGATGAAAAGAATTCCTGTGGCTTAAAAATGACAAATCGATCCTTTTTAAAGAGAATTATTTACAGTTCACGTATCTGCCAAGACTGGAAGCCGCTGCAGCGACCTCCATGGACAGAGAACCCCAGGTGCTGCTGGACATGGGCAGTCGTCACCGGCGGTGCGGGAACCGACTGGCACACGGCACAGTGGACGATGCTCCTCCCTTTTGTCTCTTTCTTTGGTCATTTAAGGGTCTAAGGCAAACGATTTCTTCCAAAAAGGCAGGCAAGAGGAGTTAATGGAGAAGAAAAGGGAGTTAACGACTGGATATGAAGACGAATTTTAGTTCGCAGTGCACGTGTCGAAGCAATCCGATACAACAGCAGACTCTATCTTCTAGGGCTCCAAGGGGTGAGGGTGTGAGTTGCTGTGGAAGTGAGAGGCGAGGAGCTTATCTGAGTCACCCTATCCTTCTCCCAGCTACTCCTCTCCTTGCAGCGGCTGGGGCTCTGACGGCTTGTAGCACTGCCCTGGTGGAAGGACAAGCGGTATCGGGGTCCTGTGACCCCCGGGAGTTTCAGGAAGAGGCGGGACACATAAAACTGGATGGTCCGGCCCAGGTCCCTCACTGTGCAGCTTCTCTGAGATCCCCCCTCACATCTCTAATGACTAGTGGTCAGCCGTGCCCTCAGCATCCTGTCCAGGGGAAGGAACGGCAGACAATAGAACAGAAACCCGTCAGTGTTGCTGCCTTCCATCCTGGGCGTTTGGAGAGGAGACTCCGTTGCCCATCACTCAGTGTCCCCTTATGGAAACCGCGCGTGAGGAGTTTTCAGTAACTGGGAACACTGTGCCTCCCTGCTGCTTGCTTTGACCTGACACAGGTAACATGGAATGTGGTTTCCTACGTTGCCCAGGCTGCTAGGGAGCTCGGGAGTCTAACACAGCTCAGTCACGGCACCTAACTCAACCGTGGCTCTGTTTTCAGGGCTTTGTATGGCTACTTCACAGATTATTATAACTTAGAGCTGAATGGGATCATTAAGTGTGTACTTGGTTTGGCTTGGTTAGCTTTTGAGAGTGTATGTTCCTCAGACGTTAAGCCCCCGAGGAGGGTACAGAGCTGCCTGCTGGGGTTGCTCCTGGTTGCACGAGGCAGGAACGTCTTCTGGTGCAGTCCTGGGGTACCCGGCACTGGTCTGACATAGAAGACACCCGCTTAACAGTGTTGGAACAGGCACATTACACATTTCTGGTGATTTGTGACAATGCATCTGTCTTTTGAAAGTAGCAATCAATAAAGTGTGTGTTTGTAAGCTCCAAAAGACAGGCGCCGCGACATCTCCCTTATCACAGTGTTCCCAGTGCCACACAGCAAGAAATGAACAAATGAGAAAACATAATTGGATATTAACTTAAAATTCAGGATTTGGCATGATATTTAGAGTTTTAAATTCTCCCACACAAAACCCTTGTGTGTGATCTAGACCAACAGTCTCAGTTGAATGCGTTTCCAGCCAGGATGATCACGCTGGGCCAGAACCTGTTTCCCAGAGAGGTCTGACACCTGACGGCAAACAGGTCTTACTTTCGTTTCTGCCATTTGGCAGAGAAATCTCTGATTAAATCCAGGATTAAATCAATGGAATTTCGTTAAGATACTGCCATGGTCTCCAGTGAGCAGATGAACCATGGAGTTAGCCTTTAAATGAGTGGTGGCGTTGCTTATTAAGAGTGAGCTATTGAGACCACCCAGAATGGGAATCAGGACCAGAAAGGTAAGTCCCTCCGTTCTAATAAAAACCCAACTACTCAATTACTGAAAACATTATTTTTTTAAAAAAGGTCTGAGGGCAAAAAGAAGCTGTCAGTCACACGAGCAAGTCAACAATGCCCGGAGCTTTTAAGAAAAAGGACAACTGGGTTAAGACAGCCCATCACAGAGCTGATGGGAAATCCAAGTGTAGCACAACCCTGCCTTTCACTCCACAGCTGCCTCACCGGCCCTGCCTGCACAGGGGAACGGCTTTCTCAACCATGACACGCAGCACCCCAGGGGTTCCCTCCGACCTCACCAGGAAAACCCCATCATCACCTGTCTCTGGCAGGACAGCACTGAAATTCAAACCGGGAAAGGGAACCAGCTTTCCACCTGCCCGTATAGAGCACCCACTGATCACAGGTGTTCGCCACTGGCGGCAGCAGACCTCGGCTGATGGCCCCCGATCCTGAACAGCAGCTGCCGGTGCGCCAGCACGCTGTGAGAACCACATCCCTGTCAGGGCACAGGAATCGGAGGACAAGCCCCAAGCTGGGGCTCGTTCCTCTCTAACCAGCCACACACGGTCTCCTGGCTTGTGTAATTAAGAGGCGGCAGACTGTGGGCAAAGCAGTTAAGAGCTTTTTTCCTGGGAATGCAGCCTGAGTAATTGGCTTGCTGCTTGCTAATGACACAGCTTCTGCAAAAATAAACTGTCACAGGGAAGTCTTTCCACTGACTCGGTGAATGCAGGCTCTAGAGCTGTTTGATGCCCTGAGTGCAGCAGGGAATTCCAAAACACTTGGGGAAGAAGAGACGCAAGTGAGCCTCTTGCGCGGTGAAGTTTGCACAAAAAGGAACGCCGCACCGAGGTCTTGCTGCCTGTGCAAAACCGATGCGTCTCCCCCAGGAAGCTCCTTGTTAAGACTCTGTTCCATGTGGGTGTGTAAAAAGGTCCATCGTGTGGCGTGGCTCAGGTGGGGGAGAAAAGGATGGCTCTGCTAACTCAAGCTCAGGTGACACATCTTCCAGATTTGCTTCTGTTTTTCTGCAGGCTGCACAGGTTTCTGACTACGACCCAGGGATGAGGAGACACATATGCACGGGTATGTGTATACACACACACACACACACACACACACACACAGAGAGAGACAGGCTCTGGCATTTGGTGCCTACCAGCACCTTTGTGCCTGGATATTAACACAAACTGACAAGGGAAGCAGCCCTGAAGTCACAGGTGCCCATCATCATGGCACAAAGCCATTGCAATCACATCAATTATTGCAATCACATCAATTATCAATCATCCCTTGGTGGAGAACTTGGGAGTGGGGCTTCGAAACGCAGAGAGCCCCTCTCTCAGCTCCTTAATGAACTTCTGCCTCCTGCTGCCAGGCTTGGGGGCAGGTGGGAGGAATCCAGCTGCAGCGCCAGGAGCTGCAAAGTTTTAAGGTTCTCCTTTCCCAGGTGACAGGAAGCTGTAAAATCCCCTCCCCCACATGTCCTAAGCCACATGGAAATGGCTCCTCTTCATCCCAACGGCAATAAATTGGGGAGCCTCTCGGATCAATTTCACAGGCATGCCGTGCAGATTCGGACTTTGTACGCAGCATTCTAATTTGCTGTCAGTGCCTCAGGGGCAGAAGCCCACACCACCAATCAAAACACTATAGCCTCCAGGCTATCAGCTACCACGTCAACCAGGTAATGCATCTTCAGGGGAACCAGACTAGAAAGGACAGCAACACATTGATTTTTTTTTTTAAAGAATCCCATACCTGCAGCATAATGCTGCTAAAGCCAGCAAAACAACAAAGGACGCTTCCACAGCGAGGAAATGTCTGTGCTCAGTGCTGGGGCTGGAACATCCTTCCATGTGAGCATGGGCGTGCATACAGGGCAGAGTGGTTCCTCCTTAAGCCCACAGGCTTTTTAATTCTGTAAATCACTCATCATTCAGTGCCTAGGAAAGCCCGGGGGAGAGTCTGCCCACGTGAACAGCTGGGAACACCAGTTGAGAGCAGGCTACCGGGGAAGCAGGTGGAGCCTGCTTTTTTAATTCTCCTCCCAAAAGAAACAATAGCATTTGTCTCAAGTTAAAACATCTAAGAAAAAGTCATCCATTTGAGAGAGAGCCGGGCTGCATTCATATAGAGAAAATTCCAGTCCTGCTCCCGTTATCCTGGCTCCCGCAGCCAGCCCACAAATCACTAGGCAGTTAAAGACAAACCCACATACCTTCTATACCAAACAGATCCCCAGAACTTCAGATGCGGAGCCGGGCTCCGGTCCCCCATCCACTCCAAAGCACATTTAGTGAAGTCAAGCCA